GGAAATAATATCAATAAGTATATAATCATAATATGAACAAGTACAATTCACACTTTATTATTTCCCGTCTCAAGTTCGCGAGATATAATTATTGTTTATGTTTATAAATTATCGTAACTTTTTTCGATTGTTTTTAATCTTTTGGCATTTATGACAAATTATTACCATCATTTAAAATTCGAACTTTGACTCGAAATAACAAGTGTTAATAATAACTTGAGTTATGAAAGTGGGCTTTATGTAGAACTGAACCTTATGGATTTGATTTTTGTATCCTCAGAAAAATATATTTTAATAAGGATAGCTTTGATCCCGGTGATACACCTTATCCTTAAGAAACCCTTAATTAAGGTTTTTTTGCTAAAAATGCCCGTTCTTAAGAGAACAAATTACAACGTTCTCCACTTTTGGGAAGTTTTTATGTAATTTTTAACATAAATAATATATTAATGAGTAATCATCAGTAATATATTTTATAAGTTTATTGAAATTGATTTATTTTTTAATTTGATAAACATGTCATCTTCTATGTAAATGTTAAACACTTGTAATTTTATTTATTGTATTTGATGACGAGTGAACTAAATAAATATTTAATAATACAGTATAATTACAAAATATATTATTAATGTTTTTACTTGATTACCCCCAATGTCTAATTTATATGATATTTTAATTTATCAATATAAAAATATACCATTTCTAATTAAATTGTTTATTTAATTAAAATCACTTCCATTTGAAATAAAAACGTTTTTCGAGTTAAATTTAATAAATGCTAAAAATTAATTATGAATTCAAAAATTCACAAAGTTGATTGTTTATAACGAGTGTTAATGTTCAGTTATTGTGTAATAAATTAATAAAAAAAATTTAAATTTTTACAAAACCAATTTTTTTGAAACTAAAGCCAAAAACATAAACAAATTGATATAATATTTCCAAATATGCTTTGTTAACACTTTCACAACCCAAAACTTTTTTTAAGAAGAAAAATAAGTAAAAAAGAAATTGCCCAAATCATTTTTTATTATTTTTATTCCAAAACCTCTTTCTAACCCAAACCGGCCAATAGTCAGTTTTATTTTACTTAAAATAATTAACAAATGAGAACTCAATTACCTAAGATTGATCAAAAATAATCTTTTTGGATGAAATTTCATATCGCATTATCGTGTTTCAACATTTTAAACTGTTTTTCAAAAGTCGGTACTGTCATATTTTTAGAACTTCCTAAAGTCCCGTTTTTTATTTTTGTTTTTTCCTAAAAAAAACAAAAAACAAAAAATCGAAAGTACCGACTTTATTTTGAAAAAAATACCAATCCCGTTCAATTATTTTCGTACATATTCGGGAAAATATCGGAATATTAGCCATCTTTTTCCAAAAAACCCGATCCCGTTATTTGATTTGGCCACAACTCGATACTTCACAACATATACACAGCATTGTTGGCCTAAAAGCACAACAATGACACAATAGTAAATTGTGATGGTGTTGTTTGTATCGAGTTTTAACTAAATATAACTATCGTTAAAAATTATTTTCAATTAAAAACAAACATGTGGTTATCTTCTCCGAATAAAAGAATAATGAAATATAGAGTTCCAAAAACACAAAAAAATAATTACAGCAAATGTTTGATAATTTTGACAGGCATAAGTCAAAATTGTCAAAGGGCAACACTAGAAAAATAATACAAAATAACAATATTGTTTTGTTATTGGATATTTTAAAAAAGATGTTCTCATTGAAATGCTCAAAAAGAATGTCGACTTTTTAAAACACAACAAAGATAAGTTATCAAATCATTTTGTTATTTTTATTGTTTTTGTGACAACACTACTAAGCATACTAATCTTCGAACTAAGCTTTTGTTTTGTGAATATTTCATTAATTATTAAAATGTTGATAATGAAAAAATTTGACATTAAGTTTATTTGCTTTTGTACTAAAATGCACTTTTGGGATAATTCGTGTGTTTTTTAGAAAAAAAATCCCGTTATTTCATATTTTATAAGGAATTTTTTAATGCTTAAAAATTCTTCAAGTAAAAAAATATTTTTTGAAGACTGTTTTTCTCTTTTTTACTTGGAAAAAATAAGCGAATTTATTACAAAAAACGATTCCCAAAAATAACAAACAAAATATATGCAAAAAATCGGGACACCTCAGTACCGACTTTTGAAAAACAGTTTATATAAAAACGCTACATCGTCAATCCACTTAATGACAAACAACGTCAAATAGTCGCATTAACAAATATAACATCAATATAAACACCAATATCGTTATAATCAAATGACAATATTCTCTTTATAAAAAACAACCAAATATATCAAACCATCATTAGACCCCATCTTTCTTTTTTAAGCTTTGCTCTTGTTTTACACAAACAAACTCATTCACTTTAAGTGTGACTTTAAAATATACAATTCAAATTTAAGTTGATAAGAAAAATAAAAAATTTCAAAAATTTGTTTTGTGTATGAAGGCAAAAAAAGGGTTTAGGTAAAAGAAAAAATTAAAAACTTATTATTATTACGTTTCGGTTTTGAAAGTGTTAATTAACAAAATGTGTCAAAATATTTAATAAATAAATATCACTCTGATTTTTTAATATCAACGAAAACCCTATAAACATTTATTATTATAATCGATGTGAATTATTAACTTTATTTTACTAATGAATTTTATTTCATATTTTTATCAATAAAAAAAGAAAACTAACA